ATATATATATATATATATATATATATATATATATATATATATATATATATATATATATATATATATATATATATATATATATATATATTCTTCATTAAAGTGGTGAGTTACTGTTGGAAAAAACCTGTTAAAACGAAATATTCTTTTTTCTCTTTGCGTATCAAAATGGATTCCTCATCAAAATACCAACTTGATATCCAAATGTAAATATCAACCAGCACAGCATAAATAATAGAGCAAATAATCAATCACACAGTGAGATCAAATCTTTTAACGTGAAAAACCCAATATGGAAAAAATCACGGGACCGTAGTCCACCTCAAACTTCCACTATCAATAATAATGATAACAGGTTTACGGTATGTCTTCTCTAAAATAACTAGAGGATCAATATAACACCAAGAATATAGATCTTGGCTCTAGCATATCATCAGGATGGATATCCTCAAAAGAGAATTTTAAATCTCACAGAGTGGATATCGCAGGAAAGCACCTTAGAGAGGGTAAACTGCAGATCAACACCGTTAAGATTGTAGAGTTTACTACAAGGATTCTCCACATAAAATTTGGGCCCAAACTGATAACGTTTAGCCACCGATCGTCAAGTAGAAAACTCAGAAACCTAATCTTTCTCTCTCCTCTTTCCTCTACACGCCGCCGCACGCTTCACGTTGCAATCTCACTGCACACACACACGCTGCCATCACCCAATTTTTGCCCTTTCTTTCAATTAGTGATTTCTTTGATTTGGGCTCATGGCCCAAATTTGTCCAAGCCCACATATGGGTTGGACCCAACAATTCTCCCCTTGCAGCTCATATGGTGGGCTATACCAAGCCCGCTTTTCGCCTACATGCTTCAAGCTTCTCCTTAGGCAAAGACTTTGTCAACATATCTGATCCATTCTCATTAGTATGCACTTTTTCCAACTGTAATTCTTTCATCTCAAGCATATCACGAATCCAGTGATATCTCACATCAATATGCTTGGATCTAGAATGGTATGTTGAATTCTTGGAGAGGTGAATGATACTCTGACTGTCATAGTAAACAGTATATCCTTCCTGTTTCAAGCCCAATTCCTGTAGAAACATTTTCATCCATAAAGCTTCCTTGCAGGCTTCAGTAATTGCTATATATTCTGCTTCTGTGGTTGATAGAGCAACACATTTCTGTAACTTAGACTGCCAAGAGACTGCTCCTCCTGTAAATGTCATCAAGAATCCCGAAGTGGACTTCTTGGAATCAGTATCACCTGCTATGTCTACATTTGTGTAGCCTTTTAACACAGGTTCATCACTGCCAAAACATAAACACAACCTGGAAGTACCTCTTAGATATCTTAATATCAATTTCACTACTGCCCAATGTTCATTTCCAAGATTAGAGAGAAATCGGTTGACAACTCCAACTGCATGAGCTATATCTGGCCTAGTACAAACCATAGCATACATCAAACTACCTACTGCAGATGAGTAAGGCACTCTGGACATTTCTTTTTTTTCTTTCTCACTTATAGGACATTGTTTAGAATTAAGCTTGAAATGACTAGCAAGTGGGGAACAAACTGCTTTGGCTTTACTCATGTTGAATCTTTTAAGAACTTTTTCAATGTAAGTCTCCTGAGATAGCCAAATCTTCCTTTTCTTCCTATCACGAAGAATCTTCATGCCAAGTATTTGTTTCACCGATCCCAAGTCTTTCATGACAAAAGACTTACTTAGCTCTCTTTTAAGCTTTTCAATTTTTCCAACATCATGGCCAACAATCAGCATATCATCAACATATAGCAGTAAAATAATAAAATCATCATCTGAAAATTTCTTCATAAACACACAATGATCAGATGTGGTTCTATCATACCCTTAGCTCATCATAAAGGAATCAAACTTCTTATATCACTGTCTAGGTGCCTGTTTGAGTCCATATAAGCTTTTCTTAAGCTTACATACCAGATTTTCTTTTCCCTTGACTTTGAAATCTTCTGATTGCTCCATGTAAATTTCTTCTTCTAAGTCACCATGAAGAAATGTTGTTTTTACATCAAGTTGTTCAACTTCTAAATTCAAGCGGGCAGCCAAACCAAGAACAACTCGGATAAAGGACATTTTTACAATCGGAGAAAATATTTCTTCAAAGTCAATACCTTTCTTTTGACTAAATCCTTTCACAACTAGTCGTGCCTTGTATCTCTATTGTGAGCTATTGCTTTCAGTCTTCAATTTGTAAACTCACTTATTCTTGAGAGCTTTCTTCTCTTTAGGCAACTTTACCAAGTCATAGGTGTGGTTCTCAAGCAGGGATCTCATCTCTTCTTGCATAGCTTCAATCCACTCATTCTTATTCTCATGTAGAATAGCTTCTTGGTAAGTTTCTGACTCTCCCCCGTCAGTAAGTATAACATACTCATGTGAAGGATATCTGGTAGAGGGTTGTCGCTCTCTAGTGGATCTTCTTAATGGAATCTCAACTGGTGGCGGAGGTGTCTGTTCAGTTGGTTCAGCATCATCAACTGTAGGTGTATCATCACTGGTATTCTCACCACAGTCTTCTTGTTCATCTTCCCCATGATCATCATGAACTACAGGTGAAGGAACTGGACCCAAACTCCAAGGAATATAAACATAGGTTTCTGGCTTCTCAATGACAACATCTCTGCTTCTAATAATATTCTTGTTCACTGGATCCCATAATTTGTACCCAAACTCTTCATGACCATATCCCAAGAAGATACATGCTTTTGCTTTACTATCAAGCTTGGACCTTTCATCTTTGGGAATATGAACAAATGTTTTACACCCAAAGACTCTCAAATGATTATAAGATATATCTTTTCCTCTCCATACTCTCTCTGGAACATCACCTTGCAGAGGAACTGATGGAGAAAGATTTATCAAATCAACTGTAGTTCTCATTGCCTCCCCCAAAATGACTTTGGTAACTTTGTGTGGGAAAGCATACACCTAATCCTTTCTTTAATGGTTCTGTTCATCATTTCTGCCACACCGTTCTTCTGAGGAGTTTTAGGAACTGTTTTCTCAAGCCTGATTCCATGGAACCTGCAATAATTTTCAAAAGGACCCCTATACTCGCTACCATTATCTGATCAAATGCACTTTAGTTTTCTGCCTGTTTCTCTTTCAACACTGACATAAAACTCCTTGAAAACATCGAGTACCTGGTCTTTAGATTTCAAAGCAAAAGCCCACATTTTTCTAGAATGGTCATCAATAAAAGTAACAAAATAAAGAGCACCTCTAAGAGTTCTAGTTTACATAGTACAAACATCAGTATGAACTAAATCAATAACATATGATCTTCTAGATGATGGATATGTCTGAAATGCAACTCTATGTATTTTTCCAACTAAGCAATGATCACAAGATTTAAGAGATGTACCTTGCAACTTTGGTAAGAAATGCTTTCTAGCAAAAGTTTGAAGTCCCTTCTCGCTGATATGTCCAAGCCTCTTATACCAAAGATCTATACTTTCACCTTTTTGAATTGCATTAATCTCTCCTTTATGTAGCTTAGCTTCCATGACATAAAAAGAGTTAATCTTCTTTCTTTTTGCCACAATTAGAAAACCTTTAATGAGTTTCCATTTACTTTCACCAAAATAGTGCGCAAAGCCCTCATCATCAAGTCTACCTGTAGATATCAAGTTAAGACGAATATCTGGAACATGCCTTATATCTTTGAGTATCAATTTGCTCCCAATACTGGTCTCCAAGCAAATATCTCCAATACCCACAATCTTAGATGTACCATTGTTTCCCATTCTGACATTACCAAAATCACCAACAGTGTAAGATCTAAAGAAATCACCATGAGAAGTAACATGAAATGAAGCACCAGAGTCAATTACTCAATTACTGTCCTGAGCTACAAGACTAACACAACCTTCATCACATACAATAGTAATATTACCTTCAGCAGCAACTGTATTGGTCTCTTTCTCATTTTTCTTCATTTCATTCTGTTCTCGCTTCCAAAACCTACACTCTTTCTTCATGTGACCTAGCCTGTTACAATGAAAACATTTGATATCTCTTCTAGACTTGGATCTTCCTCTATATCCATGTGGGTTTCTGCTATGACTTCTTCCACGTCTTTCTTGTTTTTTAGTAACAAATGCACCAGAAGAAGATTCACCATGTTCTTTCCTTCTGACATCTTCATTTAGCAAACTGTCTTTAACCATATCTATAGTTAGAGTCCCCTCTAGCGTGGAGTTACAAATAGTCACCACATACGTTTCCCAACTTTCTGGTAAAGAGCTGAGAAGTAACAATCCCTGCATCTCATCATCTATATTCATTTTCATAGCAACTAACATGTTTGCAAGACTCTGAAATAGGCTTATGTGCTCAACAATGTTACCACCATCTTTATACTTCAAATTTACAAACCTTCTGAGGAGAGAAATTCTATTTCCCACTGTCTTTTTCGCAAAGAGGTTTTCTAACCTTTGCCAAACAACATCAGCTCTGGTTTCATCTGAAATATGCTCATGCAAATTTATATTCATCCATCTTCTAATATAGGCAATAGCTTTTCTATGTTGAACTTCTCATTCTTCATCGTCTATAGTAGAAGGTTTATCTTTAACCTTGATAGACTTATACAAATCTTTGCAATATAGTAAATCTTTCATCAGACGCCTCCAAGTGGAACAATTTGATGAGTTCAATTTAAACATACCATCTGACTGCTCCATTTCAATCACACAAGAAAAACTAGCACCAAACAATCTGATGCTCTGATACCACTTGTTGGGAAAAACCTGTTAAAGCGGAATATTCTTTTCCCTCTTTGTGTATCAAAATGGGTTTCTTATCAAAATACCAACTTGATATCTAAATGTAAATATCAACCAGCACAGCATAAGTAATAGAGCAAATAATCAATCACACAGTGAGACCAAATCTTTTAACGTGAAAAACCCAATGTAGGAAAAATTACGGGACCGTAGTCCACCTCAAACTTCCACTATCAATAATAATAATAACAGATTTACGGTATGTCTTCTCTAAAATAACTAGAGAATCAGTATAACACCAAGAATATAGATCTTGACTCTAGCGAATCTTCTCAAAAAGAATTCTAAATCTTACATAGTGAATATCACAGGAAAGCACCTTAGAGAGGGTAAACTGTAGATCAACACCGTTAGGATTGTAGAGTTTGCTGTAAGGATTTTCCACATAAAATTTGAGTCCAAACTGACAACGTTTAACCACCGATCGTCAGAAAAACTTACAAACTTAATCTTCCTCTCTCTATTTCTCTCTCCTCTTTCCTCTGTACGCCGCCGCACGTTCCACGCTGCACGCTGCAATCTCACTGCGCGCACACACGCTACCGTCACCTAATTTTTGCCCAAATTTGTCCAAACCCACGTATGGGCTGGACCCAACAGCTACTTTATTAGCTGATTCAAGTACGAGTGCTCACGTTGTTCTATAAAGACGCCCCCTCTCACCTCCATTATTCTCATCATCCGCCTCGGTGAAAGAACGTACATCCAGCCAAATCAACTCCACCATGGCGAGAGGCTTAATTAGCAGGTCCTTGGATTAATGAGATTGGGGTCTACTGGTGGTGCTCCAATAAATAAGGACTTGGCTATATACGCTGCTCCATCCATGTCAGTCGTGTGTGGCGTCGTGAAGCCAAGTTGATGTCTCCGAGCATCGGCTCGGCTTTGTTATGCGTACATCCGTCGACTCTCTCATTTGGTTGCGTTAAGTTTTCATAATCACAGTCTTTTCTTTCTTCGACCTTTGTGTTATTTTATCGAGAGAAAGTTTCTGAAGTCGACATGTCACATATATACATATTTAATATATATCTATATTATATGTAAATATATATATATATACATATCTAATAGGTGTATAAACAATTACACAGGCTTAACTTTATTATGCGTACATCCGTCAACTCTCTTATTTGGTTACATTATGTTTTCATCATCACATTGTCTTTTCTTTCTTCTTTTCTTTTTCTAACCTTTGTGTTATATACTGATGTCCACGGTACGATTATCAAAATCGGATTGTAGAAAAAAATTAACTAAATTTGTCGGATGTTAGATTTAATATAAATTTTTAGAAACTCGAGTTGAGAGATAATAAGAGAGGAAAGATAATATAATAATATGTCATACTTTATTTTATACTTCATCAACGTGTACAAGAAGATTTATCCCTAAATGGGAATAACTTAAGATCTTATAATTGATGTTTGATTTTTTTTTTTGTGGATATAAGCAAAAAGTATCGAACACATTAATGACTTTTTGATATATTTTTAATTATTAATATTTGAATTTTCTTTTAGTTCTTTTTCTCCCTTCCACAAAACTCCACCTTCTTCTTGTTCAATATGATTGGATATCCTCAAAAGAAAAATTACTATTTATTTTTTAAGACTAATACGAGTGAGGGGAAAATTCTTGCACGTCTGCACCTTTTTAGATACAGAATGTCTTTGGCAGAAAGAGAGAAATCTACAACCTAAATCGAGTCTTTTTGCTGGTTCATGAATACAATTATATATCCTCTCAAGAGTGAGGCAGCCTAACCACTACACATTTAAGCAAAACAATTAAGATTTGGGGCCAAAGTGATTCTTGATCACTACCAATGTTGATGCCTCCAAGAAGTTGACTGGGGTCAACCCAACATGCATGACTCTCTTTGTGACCAGCGCAAAAGGGGCCACTTCATCATTGATGTCGAAGCTGTTGGTTTAAGTTGAGTAATCAGTATATGATTAATCGTTTTCGACGGTCGCAACGACTCGATAATCTGTAATGAAGCAGCAATGCAAGTAGTTGACCAGCAACTATCAAGATGTGGATGCTGATTAGTGTCTAACAAGTAAGAATGATCAGTTTCGCATCAATAATAAGCTACAACTTAACCTTGTGGCACGAGAACTCATCATGGCAAAGAGTTCTTGAGTACAAAGGTAAAGAATTCATCCACAAGAGATTTGGGGTTGAATGATCTAATAATCCACAGCAATGATTCGTTGGAGACACTATTTTTATTGCTTTCAGAAGCTTCCATGCAGCGAAAGCCCTGTGTTCTTTAATTACCTTAATGATGAGCACCAACAACTACTCAATAAATGAGCTCTAAAAGAACAGTAAAGCCTGCAGAAAACAATGCTTAGAGAGCTGTTCCACCATTATATACGCACATGGACGTGACTGTGGATTTAATGAGGAGGAAACCAAACCATGAGAATCTCATCATTAGTCCCTACTTTAACTCGAGGAGCAAATTCACGAGTTGCATACAATAGTAGTATATTGTAGAGTGAATCAAACACACTATTAGACGGAAATCTTAAAGTAACATTGCTTTCTGTCCATACACCAGCGAGAAATTATACAAACAAAAGTATATAGCTAACATACATACATATATGGAAGCACAATACACATGTAGATGACCAGAGAGATGTCTGTTGTGGGGGTATTATCTTCAGCTTCTGTTCTTGCATTTCTCCATGGCTTTTGGTGCTGTAAAATTAGGAGAGAAGCATTAGAAAAAGCATCTGCTTCTCTTGATAACGAGGAAGAAACAGCTTATTTAGGGATAGGGTTTCTCGACGAAGGAAATGCATGCATGTGAAGGATACTGACCGAGTCCGATGGCTTCTGATCCCTTCATTATCCTCAGACGCTTGCATGAGTCCACAAACATCCTGGATTTGTTTTGGAAATGGAGTTGGTGATGCGAGTTTACTTGCATAGATTGAAGAGTATGAAGGGACAATATCAATCATAACTAGCTAGAGAAGCTTACTCCCATGGAACATCCCCAACAAGCATCCAGTCACCATCTTTGTCTTCGTAGGTCGGCACATACTCGGATCCATTCAGAAGATCCATCACCTTGCTCTCGTTCATGAAGTCCCTCCCACTCAATCCCTGAGAGCCATAGTTTCCTAGATATTGAACAGCAGGCATCAACTCTATCTCTCTATCTTGCAAATACAGAAGATAAAAGTCGATGTAACTCATAATATAAACTATTTCCTTTTATTTGGACGTGACATCTTACTCTGTGTTCTTAGTGGGCACATGCTGATGTCTCGCTACGATTGAAACTGAAGTGGAGATGAATCTAGACTTGGAACAGAGAATAATATATTCAGATGAACTGTAAGTTCATGCATGTTGCCATGTTGGCTTGCATGAATACTGTTCTGGCATTAACAGCAGCAGGTGGGGTGCGATATGTACTGCCATTCACATGGTGTGTCTGGCACATCATGCTTCCCTGACATGGATACATGCATGCATGTAGATTAGGTATCACCTACAGTTGTCGCTCAACTCACCGCCAGTGAAGGAGATGAACATCTTCTGCAAGGCCATGAAGAGCTCTTGGTAGCTTCTGTACATCTTCAGGTCCACCTTGCGCAGGTACGGGGCGCCATCCATGCTAACCTTCACGAAGGCGGCCGAGATGCTGGACTTCTCGCCCTCCTCTTTGCTTCCTTTCTCGGAGTTGACAGAAAGAATGTTCTTCCTGAATGATCTAACCGGTGGCCAGCCCACAACCTGCGCCCTGATGTTGAACGCAGTGGATTATAATAACCAGTCATGGCAGATCTGCCAGGAAAAAGCTGAGAATTAAAGGAATCCATCGCATGTGCATGCATACGGTATATACTCTCTCGCCGCAGCTTCCACTGCTTTTGTTCCAACTTTGTTAGATAAAGTAGATGACAACATTCCTCTGTTCTTTAATGGCGTTTTCTTGTAGAAAAATCAAGGAAAAGATTTCTTTTGTCTAGAAGAAAAAATAACGAGAATATTATTCTGTAAGGATCTGTGTGAGATGCTCGTTTGATCAGACTGAAACTTGGATTATCTTCTTGTTTTACAAGGTAGATTGGATGCTTTAAGAGCATCAAAAGCAACTCATATTTGAAGAAGAAGAAGAAGAAGAAGATTATATACAGTCATACACACCACTAGCATGTGCTCGTTTGTATGAAAATGAAATATATCAAGAAAGAGACAGAGATCACAGTGGTGCATGATCGGTTTGCTTCATAAAAGAAAATTCTTGAAGATGGAACTCTTTGTTACTTTTCTTCTAGTTTATAGAAATCAAATGTCATGGAAGAATAGCTACACCAATATTTTTCTCTATCTAGAAAAAGCAAATTCTGTATAGTACTGTTCCTCACTGTCTAAGAAGATAGAACACAGAGAAGGATATCATGAAACCATTTAACTCTACCAAAACAAAGCCTGAAGGATGCACCAGAGAGAAGGGAATCGAGAGGTATACTTGGGAGCAGATGGCTTCTCGGGGTCACTGCCACAGGAAACGAGGCTTTTCTGGCTCACCGACCGTTTCACTTTCTCCGACGCGGCCTCCGCCACCGCTTCCTTCACGTCCACCGGAGTCTGAAGCTGAAGCTTTAGGTCGACGGTCTCTGCGAACCCTCTTTTGCCGGAATTCTTCACGGCCTCGGCGTCTCCTCCTCCACCGCCGCCACCGGGTAACCCCAGCCGCAGCTCGGTCTCCTCCAACCCCAACCCACTCGCCATGTTCCAACTATCTCTGGCACTATCACCTTCTTCTTCTTCTTCTTCTTCTTCTTCTTCTTCTTCGTCTTCTTCGCTTACCGCCAAGAGAACAATATATTGAGAGAGGGAGAGAGAGAGAGAGAGAGAGGCGATGGATGGAGGGGGAGGATCCTGTTCGCTACAAGTGCGTATACATGGACATGGTCGCTTCGTCCGACCCATTGGGATTACGACACGTGAACACCAATTACAGGCTTTGTCGGGAGCCAAAAGCAAAAGTAATACACTGTCCTACGCACTAACGCCAAACCCGGGTCACATACCTTCCTCAACTTCGGGCCCACGGATTGCTGCAATAGAAAATATAGTGTTCTGTCGGGTAGTACAACACGGAGTATGAGAAGCATCCCTGACAAGAGGCTCTCGTTATCGTGCCTGCGTAGCTGGACAGAGGGCCCCACACGGATTTCGGCCTGCATCGGACGGCTGGCACAGTTCGGCGCCGTCAAACGGACAGCCCGGATGGCGTCCAGGCCACCGGTTGGCGGACGCGGGTGGGGCCCAAACCGCCGGCGGTGGGTCAGCCCCGGGCGCATGTGCTGGGAGATTCCATGTGTCCCCTCGGGTTGCCTCGAACCCGCATCCATGTGAACCGTGTCTCACCCCAGACAGGTCAAACTCTATTAACTAAACACCAACACTTTGCCTTCATCGATCTGCTTGTCTTTTGAGGAAATATTGAGCTAATTCGAGAATACAAATTATATATATATAAATATATATGAGTGGACTTGATTGCATTGAAAATGAAGGATGGAAACATTCAGGATGTTGAAGAGGAGGGGGTGCGGTATTTGTTCGTGGAATCATGCACTACATTGCATGAGGAGAGTTGTTTGTTTACAGACAGTGTCATGTGGGTGCTGTTCCACATAAAGTTGTGTGTGGGATCGGTGACTACAATGGCCAATGAATCGATAGGTTCTCTGTAACAAAAGTTCATTAGGTCTTCAGCATGTCAGTCTCGTTGCCACATCCTCTTAGTTAAAGCCGCAACTCCGATGCTTCTTCTTCTTCTTCTTCTCTTGAATCTACTTAAAGGTTTGATGCAGAAGAGAGTCGTGTGTCTCTCTCTTTCCTTTGTTAGGGTTAGGCAATGCATGCTTTAGCAGACAGTAGCTTGAACTACAGCTGCCGAAAGACATCCATGTATGCACTAGAAAACAACACCTTCTTCATTTAATGCTGCAAGCAAATAAACAAGTACAAGATCAGGAAAGCAGCGCGAAGGATCCGAGACTTCATCCTTAGTCTCACAGTAAAACATCAAAGATGAAGAAGAAGAAGAAGAAGAAGCAGTTGTTTATTGCACCGGGCAAACAAGTCATGGACAGCAGCAACTGAATTCCTGCAAGAGACTTCGCGTGTCCCCTTCAGGTGGACTTCCCTTCTACTCCAAACAAGGATTGGGACGCTGGCCACAGCTTCGTGTGGTGCCCCAACAGCCCCACCAATCACACGGAGAAGACTCCAAAGGACAGCACACGTGTATGTTGACATGATGCTCCATGTCCCTCCCTGTGGCTCCGAGAGCCCATTCCCCCGTACACATCTGGTCTTGCCTCGCTTCATCTTCTACATCTGGCCATTGCTGCTTCTCGTGGCCTGCATGGTGACACGTTCCTCTCCTTCTTGGATGCTTCTTGGCTTAGAAAGTACACGATACAGTGGTGGTAGAAACGTCCAAAGCATCGAAGCTATTGAGATAGAGATGAAGCCTCGCCTGTCATAACTGTGGACAGACGGTATGATCCTGATCCCTATCTCGTTTCAGAGTGGTGGAACCTCAGCTGAAATGATCACAGCAGCTGGAGGACACGTTCGGCGAGAGAAAGCGAGAGGCATTCAACTGCAGTTATGGCGTAAAGAAATGTGACACAAGAAGCGTTGAATGAGATGGTGAGTGGCTCTTTCACCGCCTCGAGAAAAGGCCAATTTGCTTCATTGTATCTCTCTTTCAAATGAGCTGGATTGGATTGCTTGCGTCGAGTTACGCTTCGTGTGGATGACGACAAATTGTATTCTGTGTCGATCATCTGTTGGGCATGATCGTACATGTCCGCATCGGTATTGCATTTCTGCTTTGTGGCAGAAAGCTTACTCGTAGGAACTATGCAGACCATTCATCTCTACATCATCTTAAACATGCACACGCTGCTGATCGCTCCATTGTACCAGTCATCAACATGCATGCGTGATGTGATGTTGCGTCTATCGGACCTTTCCAATCTGCGGATAGAATTAGAAAGAAGAAAAGGTTACGAACATAGAGCAGATAAAAGCGTGCATCAAAGTGTAGAACAGCCCGGTGGGATGATATGTACGCTCGAGCAAACAGATTGCATTGGTGGGAGTCAAATGCGAGAGTAGAAGTTATGGATTTGGGTAGTGGCTGTAGAGAGAGATTAGCATGTATGGATACATACATGTATTCATACGTTTAACTGAGCAATACACATCAATGGGTCCTCGTGTCCAGTCTCATGCGGTGAGATTAGAAGAGCTTTGGGATAGCTTCACCCCCGCTCTCAAAATTGTTGCTTTCCCATCCCATTTAGGCTATAAAGCAACCCACCCACCTCCACAGCAAACACCTTTTTCTCTCACCGGAGATTCCTCGGCCACCTTCCTCGAGCAAACAAGGTCTTCCTCGGTCGAGCAGAGAAGATCTTCTGACTTATCAGAGTAAAGAGAGAGGAAGAAGGAAATGGACGGTGGAGTGGGCTATGCAGACATGGACGCCCTCAAGGCGACAGAGCTGAGGCTCGGTCTCCCTGGTAGCCACCCACCGGAGAAGCCGCTGCCGACGACGACGACGACCGCGAGGCCTACCAAACGCTCGCTCGACGAGGACAGGGCAGCCCGGCGTGAGACTTCGGAGGGCGGCCGAGCCACGTCCGCACGAGCGACCAAGTAAGCTTGGAAGGAAGGAGCTCATGGTGTTTACCAGGTTGAGATCATTTACTGACAGTGTTGTGCTGTTATGACAGGGCACAAGTCGTCGGGTGGCCGCCGATCCGGTCGTACAGGAAGAACAGCTTCCAGGCGATGAAGGCGACGGCGGAGGCCGCCGGACTGTACGTGAAGGTGAGCATGGATGGCGCTCCTTACTTGAGGAAGATCGATCTCGAGGTGTACAAGGGGTACAGGGAACTCAGAGAGGCGTTGGAGGACATGTTCAAGTGCTTCGAAGGTTGCAAAGGATCCGAGTACGCCATCACCTATGAAGACAAAGATGGGGACTTGATGCTGGTTGGAGATGTGCCATGGGAGTAAGCATCCAAGTCTCTTGTTCATGTCAAGATTCATGGGTATAAGTAGATGTTAATATTGATGTTTGTGTGATTATAGGATGTTCACATCCTCTTGCAAAAAGCTGAGGATAATAAGAGGAGCTGAAGCCATTAGAGGCCTGGGATCGAGTCAGTGACGAGAACAGCCAAGTTCCTCAAGGATGGAAGAAGGGAAAAGGGAAGACGCCAAGATGAGACGGATCAAGCGGTGTATATTTTTGTGTGTCTCTGTGTGTGTGTGCGAGAGAGAGAGAGAGAGAGAGAGAGAGAGAGAGAAAGAGAGAGATCGGTATGTTGTACAAAGGAAATTAAATTTATGCTTCTGTGTTCTCTTGGAAATGTATAAAGAGATTCACAAGTTATTTTATGGTTTGATCGGAAGTATGAAAACATTCTCATAAATCCAGGAAAAGAAAGGTAGAAAAAACAACAAAAATCAAGCGGGCAACAACACCAAAGAGATCGCAGCCATTATTTGTCTCCCCTCCTCGAATGTTAGTGAAAGTGGAAGAGGAAGATGAAGGTTTGGTGGCTGACAAGATGCAGAAAAGAAGGCCAAGTTGTAAGGGTGGAAGGAAAAGGGAGAAATGCCCGACAACTCGCATCAGGAACATGAATGCGAAGAACAAGGATGGTGGGAGGATTGACTCGATCCGCCTTATCGGCAACAGTGGTTGGATTCCACAATATGATACACCGGTGTGCGTCCTTGGAAAGGGACCTGTCACTGCCACATGAACAGCCAGGACAGGGAACATAAGGAGGACCATGTCTGCTACCTTGCGGGCCGCCACCACCAATCAACGCCCCTTCTTAATCACTCGAGTCAGAAACAATTTTGTCGGATTCACGGGTCAACAGCTCTGCTGACGTATTTGATTTTACTGCTCCTTTTTTGGCCATGTAAATGAGAACACAACTATTATTTTTCTAAATCGAGATTTAACCTCAGATCCGACAAACCGTTTAGATTTGTGCAATCCACACATAATAATAATGCACTTCAATGGTAAATTGTGCCATACGCATCCGATATTGAACACTACTACCATCTTGCTATTCATGCAAACTAAGATAGCACTCCTTCCCTTTAAGTCAGCAGCAAACCAGATGGATCATGAAGATTCATGAAGCCGAATTCTACTATGCTGGTCGCTGTATACTGATCAACTTGCAGAATGGAAACAAAGATCACATTCGACAGCGTGCACAAATCAAAACACCAAGTTCACAGGTCTCTGAAAAGATCCAATCAGTTCCTTCTCATCCTATACTGCATTAGACAGAAGAAAAACATAATGATCTCAAAGCTGAAGAATTTGCTTCATGCTCCAAAGCAGTAGAATGAACCATATAAGCTTGCAGTTCATGTTCATTTCGACAAGACTGGCTTAATCAAAATTCAACATTACAGGAATATTCTTTCTTCCATCTCTGCTTACCCGCAAAAGAAAAAAAGAAAAAGGTTGGCCATATGGCATTACAGCTTACCATCTCCATAAAGCAACAATTGTGACAGAGAATCGTGAGGAACAATTAATTCCTAATAATATGGGCACGCAGAGCACGCAGAGTATAACACAACTTAAAAATAGCAAACCAAGACAGTATGAAGAGACACAATGTTCTTTCTGATGACAAGTGGTAGATCCACTAAATTCCAGTATACTGCTTGTAGCTCATGAACGTCAGCCCCATCACTGTTCACGACAGTAACATCATGCCTGAAAAAGAAAAAGACCAAATTAAGGATTTTGTTAAAAGGTAGAAAGTGATTCATGGACTAGCAGCTATAACAATGCTTGATCCAATGCGTAAAACAAGCAAGAAAACATACTGCACATGATCCCAACTCGCTGGAGGTGAAGGAAATTAATTCGGATGCTCAAAATACATATGCAAAATTCTTCTTCTGTCCTCCAAGATAATTGAACTTTTCAAGCTAAGGACTGTGCAGAGTTATATTTTCTTGAATGTTAAAAGAACCATTCAAAAACTTGAACAGTTAAAACATACATTCCATAAATGTGATAAGAACTTCATCTGATGGCTTGGATATTTTCACCAAAAAGACATTTGTAAGACATGGATATTCATTTAGAACCTTAGGAATAAAATACACTTTGACATAGAAGGAAGATTTTTTTATCAACCCAACAAACAACTTTATACCAAATGAGACGTTTTCTATTATCCTATTGCACTTTGCTAAAGGTTTTCTCGTCTCAAAGACCAAAGGCCTACTCTATCCACTACAAAGAATGACCATAAAACATGATTTGAGAAGTCCAATTCAGTTAATACAAATGACATGAACTGATCAAAGCACAACAAGAGATGGTTAGGTAAGTTTGTGATATTTTATGCGGCGATATTGCAGTGATTGCATTTAGTTCTTCATCGATAGAAATTAGGGAATAAGTGATGTTGCTATTTCAGCAAATAACTGGATCTAATAGAAGGTTTCACGGCCATATTAGGATGAAGCAATGTCTTCAAATATTAAACTCCTAGTTAATGAATCACACAAAAACTTAACATTCACAGACACTAAATGCCAACCTGCTTTTTCTTCTTTGGCCTCCTTTTTCGACGTGGTTTATGAGCATCTGAGTTTGAGCTCAGGTTGCTGTGATGACCTCTCGCTTCATTTACAAATCTTGTGTTTCTGGAGGAAGGGCCACTACCACTATTTGATGCGTTGCTAGATGTAGATATCTCAACGTTTTCAATGGGTCGGCTTCTTCTTGGTGGCAATGAACGAGGTGGTGGCATGAGAACTCGTGCAGACATCTGTCTCTGTAAGGATGGATTGCAGAGACCATATCAAGTTAAAATATTTGAAGGGAAAAAGACGAGAAGCTGATTGTAGCACACTAGCAGCAAAGACAACCTGATTTCTTTCATCACTAGACATGCCAGATGTTGCTTTGCCAGAAGCACTTGAAGCTGGTTCCCTGCAAATATGGCAGAAAATTCTCCCATGTCAGTAACAAGACAGTCAACATTTAAGATGTTCTTGATTTTGGATGTTAAAAATAGAAAGAAGGAATTAATTTTTTTGAAGTAAAATAATTCTCTAGGTACCACATCAAGTGTTGGTTATGTACATCATGAACTACTGCATAAGAACCAGTGTACAAATTGACATATCTAAAATTGCTATGCTGTTTGATAACACGATAAAATGTAAAAACACAACGGTTCAGGTCATGTGTTAGTAACCTTGTAGCCTGACGTACTATCTATCAGAATCAATTTCCCAATTTGCATCTTCAACTAGCTTGAAACCACAAAAGAACTCTAGAATATATCAAAACTTAGTTTATATTACAGTATATTTAGGTTTGTAGCAAAGGAACTTATCGTTAGTCTTACCATAGATTGATTCAGCAGTTCAAAATTAACAATGTCCTTTACATTATTGGTGGGTTTTTTTTAAAAAATAGCATATATCAGAAAAGTCTAGCAATCAGCAAGTTTTAAGTGCAAAGCTGGGAAGAGATAGAAGAGGAGTTTTATCAACACAAACTCCAGAGTGAGTATTAAAGAAGCTACTTTATGTTTCTTTCATATGCTTGCAAGTGTAGAAAGAATGACATTGCAAGCATATGTAGCATACTACAGCACTTTTATATGTCACGATACAGGTAAAAAGATAATTGTCAAAAAATGCAGCTATTTAACCCACTTAAACCAGATTTTCAGCGAACAATCATAAAATACGGGGAAATTTTCACTTGTCTGCCCTGTGTTTATCATTGGTATCAACCTAAAGCCAAATGAGGCAGAGAGTTGAACACAAGATATACAATTAAATCTAGCAGAATGAAACAAGATAACACTTGGAAGAGAACCTTTTTCACGAGAACAATCAGTATGTTCCCATGGCACACAAGACTATGAATTAAATTTGACAAATGAACCAGCACTTAAAGGAAGAATCAGAACTACCTACCCTATATTAATGACCAGGAAACATAAATTTGAAACTGTTTATTCCATATACAGAATACATACCTAGTACTTTTATCTGTCCATTCATCATCTGCCTCTGCTTCATCGCTTGAGCTTCCGCTCAAAAAGAAATCATCTTCACTCACATCTAAAGCATCATCATCGCTTGCTGTTTCTGCTAAGTCAACAAGACCAAAAATTTGGGCATGAAATAGGTGCAGAACATCAAGCAATGGATGCATAACAAAATTCTGAATTTTTTTTCTACAATATCATAACAGAAACTGAAAGTACATTTTTGCATCTGGAAAAACTAGAAGTGCAGCTTTGCAACCTAAGTGGGTAACTACTAAATAACCACATAGTAAGAATACCAGAACCTTCTAAATCTTTTCCATTGGCAGCAGCTGCTATGAGATTGGCTTTAATCTGATCACGTAATTTATTTCTCTTATCAACAGTATCTGGATTATCTCCACCGGCAAACAATGAGACATATTTTTCAGTCTTTGGAAAGAACTGCATTAGAAAAGACAATTAATATTATGTCATCTGTCAAGATGTTTTCCGCTCAGAGATAAATAAAGCAACTCTTCATAACACTGTTCAATACAAATACATAACTTCACAAGGACAGATAAATGATATTCGTACCCTATCAACTAAAAATCCGTTCGATACCACAACTAGCTAGCAAACAGAAACAAGTACATGAAAGTTCAGTGAGTTACATCAACAAAGAAGCCATAACTTACCCGGACATAATTTAGATCTTCTTTTAATTTAGAAAGTTGATCCAAAATTCTTTCATCTGACACATGATCAGATGATGCACGTTGTTGCTTCTCAAGCCTCCTTATCATCCTTTCTATCTTTCTTCTCTCTAATTTAAATATCATAGTCAGATAAACAGAGAAGATAGGAAACATCACAGTCAGCAAGCAGGAAATCACGTAACGAGATTAACATACCAAAAAATTTGATCTTTCTGTCCCTCAAACGTATCTTATGTTCTAATGCCAGGCGCGTTTGAAGTTCCTGCTGCTTTTTAAGTTCGTTCAGCTTCTGCTCCTGAGCCCGCCTGACTTCATTAGGCAGGTCCTAGAAACAGTCGGTGAGTTAGAAGCATCACCCAAGAGAACATGAAGGATGTATCACAGACATGTAAAGGACCTTCTTCTACATGAGCAGTAGCAACTAGACACTGTGGCTTTTATTTCAAATAAACTACCTCAAGAGCACAATCTGAAATTGTAAAGAAAAATTACCTGAAACGAATGTAAATTATCATGGGTATATATATGGAAATAATGATCATAATCTACATCACATGATGCTTATTATTTAAAGATTGACAATGCAAAAGAAGAACCAACCCTATAATATTTAACTTGTATTCTAATTAAGGCTTCATCTCTTTCTTTCATTGATTCAATGGTATATTGTTTATTGCAAAAGTAGTTTAATATCAACTCTGTGATAATTTAGTGAACAAAGTAATGAGGCTATGCATATCAATCAAAAAGTGGCTACCGGCTTCAAATGAGAACAAAAACAGAACCAAATCATCATTACACGGTGGCCAAATTACACATACTGCTATGATCAAACATTGAAAAAAGGCTGCAACACCATGGTTTAAAGGCTTAAAAAGAGTATAATGGGCATCCCCTAATAACCATTGTATAGGGGCTGCCACTGCCCAGTGGACTCCTACCCATGTAGGATTAAGAGAGGGTTACGAATAACATATTTAATATTATGGTGAAATGTATACTGGGTTATAATAAAAACAAAATTTCCCAAAACTGCTGTCATAGGACAAAATCGCTGCTAGAATTGTTCCAAATCAAACCACGTTTCCACGTCGTGACAACAAAAAATTCAGAAGGCACATGAAATACTGGAAGTCAAACTCGATCATGGCCATAAAACCTTTTATACGCTTGTTTGATGTAATATATGATACAATAGGTTACTAAGGACATCTGGAACCCTTCCAAAATCATCACAACAGTATTTGTAACATCTTAGCTTGATGTTCACAGTAATCAAAGACTGCAAATGCCTCTAGTAGAAGAAAAGTAGGGGCACAACGTGTAATCTATAATCCTCTTATCCCATCCAAAATAACTAAACTCGGTTCCTTTGTCTCAGAATCTTCATCTCACGATAGCAGCACAATAACTCATACCGCCAAAACAAATTGCCCCACAACAACGAGCAAAACAAGATCATTTTTTGCTCCAGTAACAAGTAATAGCTTTACCTTACGAAGCAAGCGCTCGGTGGACCGAATCTGGTTCTTGACGGAGACGCTCTTGGACTTCTTTCGCTTCTTGTCCAGCCCCAACCCCTTGGACCGCCGTCCCAGGGGCCTCCGCTCCTCGAGCCGACGCCGGGCGTAGCCGCCGTGAGCCATCTCCCGCCGTAGCTCGAATTAGATCACCGGGAAGCCCAGAATCGAGGAGAAGGTGAGGTCGACGGACAATTTGGGATCAGATTGGGAGATTAGTATCCTTCTAGGGTTTCTTTATGTGGAAGAGGGGGGGAGTCGGGAAATCTTTCCCCTAATTGCCATCGGGGATGACAGCTGAGAGTTTGCGTACACAAACCAATGGGCCTAAATGGGCTTAATGGGCCGTAATTTTAATATTACTCATCATATTGGGCTCATAATCCATCATCACTGGTTTTTGAGCTATTGCGAGCGCACAATATTATATATATATATATATATATATATATATATATATATATATATATATATATATATATATATATATATAATATTAATATATTAATGTAATACATTAATTTAAGTCTCACCAAATGAGAAAAACTTTGAGCACTTAATCTTCTTGAGTATAAGAATTTTGGACGTATTGTTCAGATTCAATAAAATTATATTATTACATTAGTAGTAATAAATAGATTTAACCTAATAAAAGAATTATTTCGACATTACAACATAGAATTACTACTTTATTAGGCCTCACATGAATCACATTAAAGTAACTTAGCCTCCAAATTTTAGACTAATAATTCAAGCTCGATTAATCGATCATTCGAGTCGAGATGACGACAACTATTTATATCCAATTATATCTTGCTATATCCTTCACCTTTTAGTGTGTTTCTGCTCAAATTTATCTCATTTTTATTTACATGCATAATTATAACATCATTTGATGGCATTAGTTTACAAATGGTACCAATTATTTTCTAAAATTATCAATTTTTTCATAACTATTTCACATGAACCCATGCAAATCTTAAATTTATATTATTTTTTTATTTTTAAAAAAAATATTTTTTTTATTTTTATATTAATTTCACATGCACAAAATTCATAAAAATAAACAAAAACTTTGGATTATATGGAATGTGAATAAGAGAATTAATATTGAATGGAACGGATAACATGACCTTTTAAATTTCGTATGTTAGCATAAAATTTTAATCGTGCTATCTGTAATGCGAAAAAAACTTTTATGTCAGAATTTAAATCAAATAAAATTAGATCTAATAATATTATAATATATATTTTATTATTATTCAGAAAAATAAACCTTATCAGATCGATAGATGCCCCATCGTTGGATCTGAGATATCAATCTACAAGAAAAACTAGACATTTATTCTTCTCTCTTTCTATCATTTCGTAGGACCACCTAGATTAATGGATTGGGGAGATTGAGTGAAAAATCTTAATCTATCAACTACGTTGAGATGCGTCTTTGTAGCCCTTAGAGGTTCTATTTATTTATAAGCAAGAGTAAAAGATCTAGGATAAGTTATTATGAGGATTCCTACCATCAAGGGCATCCGTTAAGGAATCATATGAACTTCTTTTCTATTAGTCAATAATCATAATCAGAATCCAATCATATCTATAATACATCTTACCTAATTAAATAAAGTCACATAATCTAACATTCTCCTACATTGCCCATTAATTGGTAAGATACAAAAAGACTTAAAATAAAAAATAAATAAATAAAATTTATTTAAAAATAATTTAACCCAATTGAATTATGAAATTTTAGAAAAACTATATACACCCGCGTAAATTTTTAAAAATAGACCAATAAATCTAATAAATATAATAATACTATATGAAGTTTGACTAATAATACGAGTCACAGTGGTTGTATGTTAATAGTGTCACACTTCATTTTATGTACCACAACACTGTTAATATTTCCTAGTATAGTCCAAAATAACTTCTATAATTTATTTTGTTAAGACAATCCTATCATCACATTCAACCATACATACAAAATTATGAACATGATAGTAGAAACAAATAACTTTAAGTACATAAGCAATAATATCAATTATAGTATCCACTCAAACATACATCACCATATCCTTTATTAGTTGCTTACAAACCCAATTATAAGAATATGTTCATTCAAAATACTTTAGACTTTAAGTCCTAAGTGAATAGATCAGTAATCAATACAGTGGAACTTAAGTAATTAATTGACATTAGATATTTCTGGACTCATCTTCTCTAACCATCAAGTACTTTATACCGTAATGCATAAAGAAACAATAATTATCATTTTTACAGAAGAAAACTACTGCAATATCACAAAATATCTTTAACGACTTGACAATTGAGTTTATCTATATCAAATCTTAAGATAAAATTTCATAGTAAAAAAGTTTGATCAATGACCTCAAAGCATGCCACAAAATCAACTTCTATTATTAATAATAATAAATTACCCCTCTAATTGATATTAAATCTTATTTTAATTGATATTAAATCAACGACTTGGTAATTGATATTAACTAAAATTTTGCTTTTATAATTTACTAAATAAAACTGTATATTAAATATTTTTAAGACTCGATTGATATATCCTTTCTAAGACAGTCTTCACAATCATTAAAGTCTATCATTAAATTACTCAATATTAATAATATAAGATGTCTCATTCATATCAACCATCTTAAAACTCATAGTGACAAATTTCTTAATTTAGTATAATAAACCAAGATTACTATTGGTATGATAAAATATTATCTATATATAAAACCAATATAATAAACTTGCTTGCACTGATATAAATAATGATCAATAGTATTTTCCTTAAATTAAAAAAAAATAATATCAAGAACCTTTATATATCATTATCTTAAAGCCCGTTTAAGGTCATAAACGAATTCCTAAATTTGCATATCAAATTTTATATTTCTTTCATTTTCTTTGTAAATCATTTAGAGTAACTCATATAAGGCTAGATCCTTAAAAAAAAAAAGTTTTTATATCATTATAATATAACTTAAACTCACAAGGAGTCACTAATGTCATGACGATTCTTAACGAGTTTATTAAAAACTAAATATCTCGTTATTATCGATACATTCTTTATAAGTAAAATTTTTAACCACAAGTCTTACCATTATATCGTTCGGCATTGTCCTTTGAGCTATATTTATAATTATTGGATAATTTGATAAATTTATCATATACCATTCTGGTTATTGATTTTAACTCTTCTTTTATTGTATTATATTATTTTTCAGAATCATTACTTTTCACGTAAAAACAATAAGGGATCTATTATGATTCCTATAATTCTTATAGATATGTCACATGGTAATCATAAGTGACAAAATTCCTTTCCTATTATAAATTACATTATTCGTTTCCCTTTGAGATATTCCCAAGGTTCAATTATGATTATTTTACAAGACCATTAACAATAAAATCAATATAATGTGAGAGTTTAGTAATATTATTTTATTATTCACTTTTATTAAATCATTTAATGATTTGAGTAATAATAATTTTTTGAACAATAAAGGAGTATTAACTTATATCTCCTCTATATCAAAATTAAATTTCAAGATTTTCACACTCACTGATTTGCTATTTTATAAGAATATTACATTACCAGAATTAATTGTCCTCATACTATAATTAGAGCAATAAGATATATACCCCTTTAAACTTTTTTGAATAGATTATAAAATATTCAAAAATAGTTATTAAATATAATTTTCTTTTATGTGAGTTAAAAATCCTTATCTCATAATTTCAAATACTTAAATATCTTAAATTAGGTTTCCTACCATTTCATAACTTAAAAGAAGTTATGCAATTTACTTACCAAGAACACCATTCAAGAAATACATAGTTGTCCTTGGAGCTTCTTCTCACAATGATTTATGTACAAAAGAATAACTATAATGCTTCTAACCATATCTATAAAGGTACGAATATATCTTTTAGCAATCATATTCTGTCGTAACACATCTGGTAAATCATATTAAACACATATACTTTATTTTTCTAAGAATCTAGCAAAGGAATTAGAATTATAATTGGGTTCATCATAAATACTATAAAATTCATCACCCTTGTGAGATATGATGATCTTGATTTTTTTATCTAATTGTCTCTCGATTTCATTTATGTACGCTTCAAGAGTGTGAATAGTCATAGACTTTACATAAATTAGATATATATAATCATATCTCAATAGGTTATTTATATGGTGATAAAATATCTCTCTTTAATGAGACGAAAGCATAGAGTGACCCACGTATATAAGCATAATCTCAAAGAGTTTATAAAACTATATTTTATTTTAATATTTAATTATAGGACCATTGTAAACTTAATATTCATATTAATTCTGTATAGACTATTATATAGAATTCAAAGGTTAATTTTTATTGAATCATAGTTAGTTTACAACTACCAAAAGGGAAATAATATTCTAACAATTCTAGATAAAGAACCCAAATTCGTAGAATTATTAGAACACAGCATGGATCCTCAAGATCTATCAAATGAATCATCTTTAGATATAGGTGATAAATACAAACTAATATTGTTTTCACTTTAAGATGATTTTTTATAATGATGAATATCTCATTCTCTTTTAATTTTATCTCTCTTTATTTTTTTATTTTAATAAATATCTATTATTGGTAACATATGTTGAAGTATCAAATTAATCCATCAAGTATTAGAAAAATAATTTCTATAATATTTGATTTGAACCGTACGAAGGTTTATTTATGCCTTTTTATTTCAAATCAAATCTTATAGTTTTCTTTTTTTCTTCACATAACTTTCTTTGCTACATAAGTAACACTTTATTGTGAAGATATTTTTTTATAAGTTTATATAGTAATTATAAACTCAGATGACTTACACTTCATCCTTATTTTAGTGTTTCCAACTTTCTGAGTAATACTCAAAATATTATTAGTCTTTAGCTTATAGCTTTATCATTTATATTGAGGATATAATCTTGAATTCTTCAAATACTATTATTTAAGGTATCAAATAATGACTTATTAGAAAATTTAAATTGATTCCTAGATATTCTCAAGCACTAGTTGTAAACTATACTGAAGTCTAAATATCATAAAATTGAGTCTTTCATTCATTTCCTGATCAGTCATCTTAATTATTTATTTCACCTTTCAGTAATTAAGTTTATGTTCTATTTAATTAATCTAATCAATGTCTCACTCACTCAAACTTATATATGCTCAAACATTTATTTTAAAAAGTATAAGGATATTTAT